AGGAGTCATGAATGAATTGGAAATAATAGGTTAATTGGTGTGCAACTAATTCTGCCCGCGATGCAGCACTCGAGCCTGTGGAGAGCGCTGGCTATTTGAAAGTAAAATTGACAGCCAATTCTTGGGCAGCACTCAAGCACTGCAGCGAGCGTTGGTCTCTGGAATTGCCTTTTCATGCCCGGTGTAATTTCCTAAGTCCCGAAAGTGCCATCCACTGGTTTTCAGAAAAACTAAGGCTCTTTTTCAAGTCTCTAAGTACCAAGGGGTGGTACCTAAAAAACCTCCATCCCATGACTCATTTCAAAACACGTTTTCAAAAACTAAGACCTTAAAGTTTCAAAAACATTTTCGTACCAAACACACACGAGTCACAAATGGATCAAGTACTCACACTCTAAATCCAACTTATCAACCTAAGTTAAACCAAACTAGGGTAACTAGCTATCTATGTCATCTTCTCTCATCTGAGCTTGATAGGATCCAAAAACTCTTTAATGTATTGCTTTGAGCTTTTTCACCATATTTTGCTTCGTTTTTCAATCTTCAGTAGCCTCTTGACTATGGTTTTAGTTAAGATCCAAGATTACATAGTGACCTCACAAAATTCGCCAATTAAAATTTTTCCTAACAATTTTGTTTCTTATTTTATTGTACTAATGCGTTTCAGTTCATTATTGTTGTTAGTCAGATGCTTATAAGTTTTTTGGTGTAAGTTTTTATTGTGATCTTGTGGTTTGACAATTCGAAAAACTTAGTGATGGCAGTATATACTGTGGAAATAATGATAAAGCATAGGTCTGTATATAGTCAATCACTCCAGCTTCTCAACAACGTGGACCTAATGAGGCTATGAGCCAATGATCCTTTTTGAATTATGTATCCCCGAACATGTATGGGAGAATAGTGGGATTTGCAAATTTGTGCTACTATTGATTCTGGTTTATTCATTTCTACTTTCAAATTCATACTGTTTGTTCTGGGTAAGATTTTTTTATAATTGAACTCGTATACTCTTTCACTGGTTTCTTTTAACTAATTTACAAAGTGCTATATAGAATGGCTCTGCTGTCCTGACATATCTGGTTGCAGTAATTCTGGAAACTTCAGATGATAGAAGTTTTGATTCAATGCTTTTTCCTACTATCTATTGCAGTGTTGATGATGGATTCCCTCCAGTCACTTTTTATTTTGAAAATTCGCTTTATTTGAAGGTTTATCCTCATGAGTATCTGTTCCCCTTCGTAAGTATATTTTTTATGCTAATTACCCACTAGCATGGTTATTTTGTGCTCCATTCCTATGCTTTTGAATTGTGCTCGGTTAACACTTTGATGGTGTAGTAATTCCTTTGAATTATATCATCCATTTAGTTAAAGGACTTGCCCAAAAAAAATGTTTTCAATAACATGAATTGATTTTTTTTTTCCTTTTTTGTATATCTTCACCTATGTAGATGCGGCAGATGTTGCATTTAGTTATTCAAACCTTTTATTTAGTAAGGTCTGAAATATGTCCTCAACCTTTTGCTGTACTTCACCTCTGTCTAGCCGTCTATTTTTGGTGCATGTGCTGGAATAGTTAGGGGATCCTAGATTCCGCAACAACTTCCTCCAAAAATGACACGTGTTTAACAGACTTTTGTGTTGAATATCTGTAGCATGTATACTATAATCTTAAGTATGGGAAAAGTGCATATTTGACAAACATTCCACCACAATGGAAATGGAGTTGGGGCTCTTCGTTGTCTTTGGAAGTTTATGCAAAGGAAAACTCGAGGAACTTTTGTGGTTGATGATGATTATAAAAGCCTGTAGTTTTTGACGTTTCTGAATTGATTTACCTGACATCCTTGGACGAGTGGGTCCACACTTTGGTATTAATGATCTGTAATCTTGGTCAATGGCTTACTCCTACCCAAATGTTCTCCCAAACTATGTAGCCCTCGACTTGAATGCTTGCTTAAAGAACCCCTCCAGAGAGCACAGTTGATTGCCTCTAAACTCATGGATTTGATGTGGCAACTACTTTAACTTTGCTTGAATATTCAATTCAATCACTGTGTGGTTGAAATGAGAATCGCTTTGACACTGATTCTTCCAACTTCCCAACCCTTTCCTTGGTACTCACCATGCTTGACAGTGTTTGCCACTTTGCTGGACTCAGATTTTTTCTTTAGTGAAAAAGTGAGTTATTGAAGACAAAGGATCTGAAGTTCAAACGTCTTAGTGCCTAATGATCTGAGCAAACAATGAATCAGCAATAAGTTAGATGTTGCTCCCAGTAACGAAATGCACCAAGACATAAAACTTTAGATCATGAGTTCGATAACAACATTTGACATTACTCAACTTTTAACTTCAAATTCCATTGGTCTTCCTTCTTGACAGAAAGCAGCCTCTAGTGAGAAGTCAGTATTGATGTGATATTGGGAACAAGTATCAAAATTTTATTTTGGTGTATAGTTTCGATCATCTTGGAGATGGAAATGCATCAAATTTTGAAAACGGAACAGAAATAAAAAAATAATTGGAAATTTATTTTCGAAATATTTTGAAACAGCTTGAAACATTATGATATATATTGAAACACATTGAAACATAGGAATTCCGATATTCAGCTACTGATCCGTTCCAATTTCATGAATCCGAAATATTTTGGTTGCTTCAGTGGAAATGAAACGAAATGAAATGAAATTACAATCCTTTAATGGCACTGAATTTTTTGTAAATCTCTGCAAAGTTAAGCCAACTGATGGGATTTGTGAACATCCTTTATGATATTTTGGATCATGCTTTGCTACATATGTTTAGAAAAACAAGAAACGAAACATTGTTGCAGTGGTGCACTTCTTCATGTTCACTTATAATGTCTTTTTGCGACGAACTTGCATGACCTGTCGCCAAGGCAATACATACTCCTTTTTTCATCTGACCATGTAGCAATATCATCAAAATACGTTATAACAAATAAACTTATAAAACGTAAGTGTTAATTTTGATCAATCAAAGAAAAATAAGAGGAAGAAAGAAGAGAATATTATTGAGACACAATTAGCCAAAACAAAGTTTAAAGGAAAACTACATATAAGAGGTCTTTATATAGTAAACTAAGCTAGGGTAACATAAAAGAAAACAAATGACTAAACTACCTCTAAATCTAAATATAATAACTATTCTACCACCCTCCCTCAAACTCATGATGTGGTAACATTAAACATCAAGAGTTTACTAAGAAGAAAACGGAAACGTGCGATGGTGTGAGATTTTGTAAAGAAACGATCAGCAAGTAGCCAATACAATAAAACTATCTTTGCTGTTATGAAGGCCATAGCATGATACTCAGCTTCAGCAGATGATCGAGCTACAACAGTTTGTTTCTTATTTTTCTACAAAATAAGACAATCACCAATGAAGAGACAGAAACTAGTAGTGGGCTTGCAATCCATAGAGTCACCAGTCCAGTCCGCATCAGAGTAAGCACGAAGTTCCAGAGACGTTCACATAGCAATGAGAGGTCCAATAGAAAACCAAAGCTTAACAAAAATTACCAGCAACAATGCTCAACAAAACAAATCCTAACAAAGAAAAAAAAACAAACAAATCAGAACTAGTCCCAAACCAGCAATAATCAAAATCAGAAACTAGAACCAAAAGAAGTACCTAACGCCAAACAATCCAAAGTTCACCGCAAATCAACTTAACAACTTTGCAAATCAAATAATTACCCAGTAGTTCGTTCACAAAATCAGTCCCAAAGGCTCAAACCCACCAATCAAAAGTGGAAACAAAAGTTTTCTGATTATTCAGTGCGAAACAATACAAATGAAAACAAAAGTTTTCTGCTTTTTCAATGCGAAACAATGCAAATGAAAATAAAAGTTTTCTGCTTATTCAGTGCAAAACAATGCAACGCTATGTCAAATAGCATGCCCAAACGAACAAATTAAAAACTAGCAACGTGACAACTCACCAATGCACAAAACCAACCAATTAACAAACCAGTCCAAAGCAACAACGACAAACGAAGAAGAAACAACCAGACTAGCAACCAGAAGAAGAAGCACTAGTAGAAGAGAAAAGGCAGCCGCAAGTCAACAAAAATAGCAATCCAAACAGTAGATCCCCAACCTACCAACTTCACAAACCAGAAACCAACAAAGAAGTAGACGCTTAATAGGCCTTAATACAAGCATCTCAAGCCAATAAATCAAACCAGCAATCCAGCAACCAGACAATCCAAATTTCGTAACTTTCAAAAGTCCAGAAGACAAACAGAGGCAGCAAAACAGCAAAAAGGCACTAAAAAACAAAATCCGGCACTGTCCATTGCATGAACAGTAATGCCGGTACTGTTCACAGCGCGTGAACTGTACTTGGCACTGTTTATCATTGAACAGTGTTTTTAGCACTGTTCACAGTCCTTGGAATCACAAAAAAATAGCAATCCACCAATCACTAGTCCTCAAATCACACAACCCAAGAATATATTCTTCCTCCAAATAAATTACTGTGGTACTACAATATATATTTTAGATCGAAACCATGCTCTGATATCATGTTAATTTTGATTAATCAAAGAAAAAAAAGAGGAAGAAAGAAGAGAATATTATTGAGGCACAATTAGCCAGAACAAAGGTTAAAGGAAAATTACATATAAGAGGTCTTTATATAGTAAACTAAGCTAGGACAACATAAAAGAAAACAAATGACTAAACTACCCTTAAATCTAAATATAATAACTATTCTAACAGTAAGTACCTTGATCATAACTTACATGAAAGTGCTTAGTGCTTTAGAGAGCCCTAATGACATCACTACATAGACATACAATCCATTTGATCTTTTGAAGACAGATTTCTGTTCATCACTACTTCTGATGCTATATATAATGATTATATCCACCCCTCCCATCCATTTATGGAAACACCTTCAAAATAACAAACATGTCGAGCTCAGCATTAAGACAAGGAATTAGGAAGTGGTTTTTCTAGTTGCAGCAATATGCATGCACTTTCCATGACCTATATTTTTGGATGTGATCCTAAAACACCTCAAGGGCTTCTGCTCTCACAATTAGCCTCGTCTTTGTATGCCACTTCTCTCTACATCTCATTCTGTTGTGCAAGTGGCATTTTGTACAGAGGCAGTATTCACAAATTGCACCAGGTATTAGGGTACTCTTCCTCAGTGGTGCAGAACCATTGCAGCCATTCATGGGGTTGACTGTCAATCTTGTTGGACTTGCTGAATTGTGTTATTGACTAATATTTTTAGGCTTCATAGCCCATGAAAATTTTGGAGTACTTTATCTACTTAATTTATTGACCCAAAAAAATGGATCTACTTAATTTCCCTCCAAGACACCTGTATGCTAATAGTTGGGGATTTACACAGAAGAGGGCTTTCAACTGTGTGGGGGTTTGCTATCCATGTTAAATAGCTTTAAGTGGTGGTTGGTTTGATGATAGCAAACTGATGTTGATACAGAACTGGAGAAAATAGAAGTAGTCAAAGTAATGCATCTTAGATGCAATATGCATTGAAAGGTTCCCAACTCTGGGATGAGAGGGGAGTTTTTAGATTGGGTGGGGATTGAAATTAGTTTCTTCTTACCTTGAATTTGTTATGAGGCATAAGAATTAAATTGCCTTAAGATAGCTGTTTTATATTTCTTTCCAGTAGGAGGGTTATTTGGGGAACTACAATAGACAGTAGACATCATGATGGGGGCTGTGAGAGTAATGAATTCTGGTAGCTTTGAAGTCCTATGGGTTCCCTTCAGGTTCCTCCTTCACCACCCCAAATTTCTCTTTCCAACCAACACATGCACACATACATACAAACACAAACACAAAATAAAATAAAATGTTTTTTAAGACTTACTGGAGGGGGGACTCCCATCAAGGGCTTTCCGTTTTCCTTTGTTTTTTGTATTTGTTTAAATTTTCTGTGTAGATCTTTGTTCTATGCGGTTTGGTTTAATATTATATAATTTTTTGCATTTATTTTCTATATTGCTGTAAATTAAGTTAATGATTTCCTTCTCTACTGCTGTTGCAGGAAGATCTCCTGTGTTTTGGTTGGCAAAACAGTGGGATGCAATCCAGAGATAGGAATAACATGACCCTTTTGGGAGGTATGTATAGAAGTATATGGTGATATGCATCTTTTCTGTTTATCACAATTACAAATCATATGAATAACTTTTATGGAGCTACCAAGTAGCTTTCTTAATTCAATTGTTGCTTTAAACTACTGGGGTTAATGTTTGACAAGACTTTTTCCATTTGAACATAATAATTTGAACTTTCCTCTTGTTAATGATATAATTCTGTAATTTCTCACATTTGAGTTATTTTCAATTTTTTGTACTGTGGCCGATTTCCTTTAAGATTATAGTTTTTATTACCAATGTATTTCATGTGGAGCATAGAAACAAGAAAATAACAACTCAGGAATTTCCCATGGAGCAGTCTTTGGAACTTCTGTTAAATGTTTAGTATTATGTTTAGGGTTATTTGTCTTATTTGATGTTGTTTTGGTTTAATAAGCTGCAAAAATTAATTTGTTATTTTGGTCCTTTCAACTTTCGGCCATAGGTCACATCGTGTGTCTATTCTACTATTTGGGTTTTATTTCAAGTTCTAGATTTTCTAGAATAGTCTGGAGTTTAAGAATAAAGAGTTTTCTAATATTGGTATATTAACAGATTGCAGCCAACAAGGTAATATCTATTTGTTAGGGAAGACTTCTGCCACACCCTTTTACCATGTTACTGATGATGCTGAAAATGGCTATTTTTCTAAAAGTTTATGGCGATGCTGAAAATGGCTAGTTTGCACATTTACCCGTGAGTTTATATATACGCATTTGTACATGAAGATAAATACTTAAGTTGCACACCTCTCTAAAAGCTTAAGCTTGTAGACAAGTTGATGTTTCATATGGTATCAAAGCTTAAAGGTCCTGAGTTCAAATCACATCAGATCTCCTCTCTTACAACACAAAACAAAATACAATCATGTAGATGGACCACCCAAAGAGGGGCCACATGTGGGGGAAGTATTAGATAAATAAGTATGTTACACTCTCCAAAAGTTTAAGCTTTTAGACCAGTTGTTGTTCAACATATATCATGTAAAAAGCCTCACTTTCTTGCTCTCTTTAAAAATTTGCCACAGCTCTCTCCCTTACCTATGACCGATGGCAATCATTACAACCAAGCACCACTTACCAATTCTCTAGCTGAAACATTGTTGTTCTCTAGCTAGAACACTGTCGTAGCTCCTTCTTCGTTCAACGACCATTAGCTTTTGATCACAACCCCTACTCAATACCATAGCCAAATCAACCATAACCAGATCTCTCTTTTTCTGTCAATTTAGTGGCAATCTCATTCTCATTCGAGCACATACAACCCACGATGTCGACTTCCGATTCCTTTGTCTCTACCTCTTCTATTTCATCCAACTTTCTCTATGTTTGAGGATTAGAATTTTGTTTCGTCGCAAAATGATGTTTAGTTTGGAAGTAAAAACGTTTTGTAAACATTTTGAGAATAGAAAAAAATGAAAAAAATTGTTTTCAAAATATTTTGAAGCATTGGTCGAAACATACCAAAATATTCCCAAGTGTCTTAAAATATAATAATTTTGATATGTAATCATTGATCCATTCCGGTTTCCATAAAATTCAAAAGGTTTTGTTTGTTTCAGTGGGAACGAAACAATATTTTGATCGTTGTCTATGACCTCATCTGTACTTATCCCATCCAAATTGATGTTGATGGTGGGCATAATGTTTGCTTACCAAGTGTTTCATGCTTACTGGTACACACACAAAGATGTGTAGGTTTCATTTAGGACAAAGGTGTTGATTGAGGTGTCTCCTTTCCTCATTGTTCTACGACTATTCCCTTCGTTAATTTTTCCTTCTTGTAGAAAATATATTTGCCATTAGATTCAAGGAAAGTTTGTTTTGAAGAATTGCTAGTTGTCCTTTTGTGGGGCTAGAAAACCCTAGAGATCTCTTTTGGCAAAGAAAATCCTAGAGTTTTTAGGGGTTCATTTTTCGTTTCCTTTTTTTTAGAAGTTTAGGAGAGATCTGTTGGGTAGCTTAACATACTACACTCCAATTGCTACTCAACCCAATAAAGTCTTGTCCCGACAAACATGCTACACTACAACCACAAACTAAGATTAATTTGTTTACGTTTTTTTCTTTTCCATTCCTTGACAATTACCTAACAAGATCTGGTAACTCAAGGGAGCTAATGAAGTGGTGATGAATTCATGTGTATGTGTGTGTGTGTGGTGATGGTGTACTAGATACTGTTGGGACTATTCAAATTCAGAGACTTCATTGCTGTTGGCGCGGAAGCAACAAGATTGCTGGTGTGGCTGGCAGTGATGAAAGTGCAATGGTGGCTGGGGTGAAACCACTAGTAGGTTTTGATTTATGGGTTATTGTTAGGATGCATTATCTAATAAAAATAAAATAAAAGGTGGGTTCCATTTATTTTCTTCATGTATGGAGCTTTTTGGTTTGGAAGTGAATTTTTTGGCTAAATATTCATGACACCCCTGTAAATGCATAAATTATAGAGAGATGCCTAGGGTTGTGTAAATTATTACCCACCCGCTTGTAGTTTAGATATCCATATTACACCTACTGTTAAGGATGTTAATGACTGATTTAAAAAATCATTACAACATTGAATATTCGTTCAATAATTCGTATTTCACCCCCAAATAAACGAAGTTTAACCTACTCATAGATGCAAACACTTTTCAATTCTATTTGGAATAAACCTACACCTACATTCAAATACCCACTTTGTTCCTCCTAATCTTATCTCACACCCAGCTGTCACCACATACCTCTCTCCACTGGCCCATCACCATTACTACCACTAGCCAGCTCACCACCACTACCACCCTGAAAACCATTAACCCCACCATAAAATCAACTACTACCCACCCACAGCCTCCAGCCTAGCATTACAGATAAACCTACTTCAATAACTGGGGGAAGTAGCAAAAGGGAGTACTTCTATCTTTCGGCACAAAACAACTTCATAGTTTAAACACAAAAGCAATTGAATAACACAAGATTCAAAATTCAGTTCCTTCCTTGTCCTTGATCTGTTTGCCAACCTAACAATAAGATAACCAATTAATACCACTACCAAGCAATTAAAATTATCAAAATCTACTGATTGCAATCAAATAATTGAACCAGTGGTGCAAAACAATCATGCATGAGCCCTCAGCATATCAATTAACTAGCCATCACCACCAAATTGGTCATGAAAGCAATAATTTTGCTGTTGTGAGATCACTCAGGTACTTTTCAAAGAATGGGTTGGCAACACCGATGTTTGCAAGAAATTCCATTTTTGTTTTGATTCTCGAACAAAACAAAAAAATGCCCAAGGAATTTGGAGTAGTTGCAGCTTTTAGAACTTCAGTAAGTTTAAATGCAGTATGACATTTTCTCCTGGAAAAACTATTGCAAGCTATGGGGAAATCACGGTTAATAGCTGAGAACTTGCTGCAACTTCCTACTGTGATCAGACTTGTCCATTAGAATTGGCTAATGATTAGGATCCAAACGGGTGGGCCCTTAAATTAAATAGTAACATAATGTGAATTAGGCAACAAATTTCATTTTTAAGAGCTTTTGAGAATGATGTACTATGGAGGTATTAGTCATGCAAAATTATATACTGGACACAAATGAAATAGGTGGGGCTAAAATACAATTGGAAGATGAAGCTAAAACGTAAAAAATCAGTTTCCACCATATCCGTTACAAGAAAAACATTGGTAGATGGTGTCTGCATTTTCACAAAATTGAAGGAGTGCCTCTGCGACTATATCAATCTACGTGGGGTGTCATTTATCATTACCTTCGGTTTTTTTTTTCCCTTAATTTTGTTATAATTTCTTGAACATGTGATATTTCGTCTTCTGATTTTTTTGCATTCATTTGGGTTTTTTGTAGTCTTTTATTTAACTTGTAGTAGGATAGTAATATGCTATTGTTGCATTAATAACTAGAAGGTAAAATTGGAATTGTGAAGAGAATCTTTTGTGACCTCGTCATTTTTTTTTAGTTAGTAATGATTATTGTACGAATACTATTTGAAATGAGCATGAAAACTAGAAACAGGTTCAGTGATGTTTCAAATAATGTAAGGGGAGTTCTTGAATTATGCTAATCTACTGGGAGCTGGTTGAGCTTTTGCTTATTTGTAATAGTAGAGAAGTGAGATATCAAGAATTGGTTGCTCAACCTTTGTGAGAGTTAATCACCCTTTTCTCTTCTTTCATTCATCCTCTTTTTGTTATATTCTTTCTTTGTGGCAGTTATAAACCACTTATTTCAACGCTGTACATCCTAAATGACACTGTCTGACCATCCGATACTCAATTCTAGCTAGAATTACAAAAAACCAGCCTAGTTTATTCTTCATGGGGTACTTCTCACAGAAACCTGAACAGCCCACATAATTTCCTTTTTTCTAGGCCCAATTCGATACCCAAATCTTAAGACAATTGTTTCACCTCATGAAAACCTTAAAACCCTACTAAGATAACCATCTAAACTAAGTGGCAGTATGTCAACTCAAGGAATAGCTTTCCTGCAAGAAGAAAGAGCATCTGTCTAATAGTTGTTTAGTATATTAGTATTTTATAAACTATAGATTAGTTGGCCTGTTAAAGACACACTGAATCAAAAAACGGAGGGTTTGATAGTTGCACACTTGCTTAGTTACTGATCTAGTGCCGGGGAGGAGAGTCTTAATCAGCACTTAAAAGCCTTGTTCTTGCTTTTGAACATTAGGTTTGATGACATCTTTTTAGGCTGTCATCTAATTTTTGCATCAATAATAGGCTTTCATTTCGTGTTATTTTCAAGGTCAAATAAATCCTCTCCTTAGAAGATATGAATGAGTAAACCAATGGTTGTATTATGGAGCTTATATCGCTTACCATTTCACCTATTGAATATGAAGCTGGTTGCCAAGATAGATAAGATAATTACAGAAACAGATTGCACCCCACATTTTTATTAGAGTTAACTATTTATTTGACCCTTGAACTATGCCATGTGTTAATCAAGCCCTTGAACGACACTTTGTGTTAATTTAACCCATGAACTATAACATTTGTGTCAATATGACCCTTGCATCCAAATTCGTTGTTAAACTTGACAGAATTCCTCACATGCCTAACACGTGACCCTTAAACTATACCTTAATCCCCGACTCAAATTTGGACGGAAGGGCCACATTGACACAAATGACATAGTTCATGGTTTAAATTGACACAAATTATACTTCAGGGGCTTGATTAACACAAATAGTATAGTTCAGGGGCCAAATAGATAGTTTAACTCTTGTTATTATTTTGTGGAAAAAAACTGGTTGATGGCTATCATCATTGCAAGATTTTGTGAAACTTTGTGATGAGCAAATATCAAATGTTTATTCCTGTAAGAGGCTGTAAATTAAGCTGAATTCATTGTGCAGCTTAAAGGACTTACCCAATGATACTTTTGACATAGGGAGGTCTCTTAATTTTCTTTTAGCCTTAATTTATTCATATCTTTTTTTCCCTAGATTTATATATAATGTTTGTGTTACTAATTTTATGCAGATTTAGTACTCTCAAATAAGCTAGTCGTATATGATCTTGATAACCAGACCATTGGATGGACAGAATACAACTGTGAGTATACATTTTTTGTGTTCAACAGCTTTTGTTACGTAGTTTAGAACACTCTTAAATGGGCAAGCCGTGAATATTTTTCTATGTGATGTGTTCAGTTTTCATTTGCCCATATTTCCCGTTTATATGTTTGAGTTCCTCTAATTTTTTGTGAATGTTCAGTTTTATAGTGGATACATCTTGTATGTATTTATGTATGTATGTTTCAATATAGGTTAATTTTTTATCGCTTCCTTTTGTGCTCAAATATATGGTTTCCCCCTAGTGGAGTATCAATGGGATTAATCTACCCTGTTTTACCATTTTGTACAAACAGTCACTAGGCTTTTATGTAAAGGAAAGTTTAACAAGAATCAGAGGATGGTATCAGAGATCTTTGTCTGGAAACAGTTATTTACTTAAAATGAGACATTGTGCAAATATACTTTCCTTGAATAATATATACCTAGGGTACTTGTCATTAGTGTTATTTAAGGCATAAAGCGAATCGAAGCGAACCGGTCTCCCGAGGGTCTAGGCGAGAAGCGAAACGAGCGCTTCATTCAGATGTCAACAAAGGGACTGTCGGCTACTTTTCAAGCCAAAAACACCACTAAATGGACAAAAAACTGTGGGTACCTCGGAAGAGACGTCCCAGACTCACCACGTTGAATGGTTTGAAGCAGTAAAAAAATCCTAGATTGGCAAGAATTGAAAATTTCACATCCAATTTTCTCGAAACTATCCAATAGGAGCAAACCCCATTCAGATATCTTCAAAAAATTAAACTAAGTCTAAAATCACAATAGTTACCAAAAACCCAGCCAAGATGTAGGTTTTGACAATTGGAAAGTGTTTATGTCAGCATGATGTCAGCAATGGGGAAAAATTCCCGAGATCTTTTACTTTATTTTTCGATGATATTTGGTTACGGTTCATTGCTTTGATACCAAGTTAAAACAATAATAATAGCAGTATTAGGGTTTGGGAGGGAGGGGGAGAGAGCCTAAAGCATAGCAAGTTCCGGACATTTCTTCACAGGTATTAGCACTGATTTGGATAGGCAATAGTTCTATCACTGATGCGTAGTTCCGTCAACTCTACATGTAATGTCAAGACTCCATGGGTGGAAAGATCTAAACTAAGGCTTTTGAATTACCAACTAGTCAATGATAGTTGCGAAAACTCTCCCCTTGAGTAATATAAATTCAGTTTGTCCTTTAGAACTTTTCTAATTGAGATCTAAGTTTCTCTCTCTAAAAACAGAGATGAGAACATAAGCTCCTTTAGTTTACAGTCCCTGTGGTGGTTAAGCCTAACAGCTCTAAGTGCTAAGCACTGATATTTGCATATGATAGTGGATATAGACTTGATCTCACCTTTTCTTATGAATCATTTTCAAGTAAAGTGCATATCACATTTTCGAGGGTATTTTTACTCTATTTCAATGCCAATAGTGAATAGGGAAGTCAATATAATTCCTCAAATTTTCCCATACCACCTGGGTGATTCCCTATGTGAAAGCATTTACCCATCATGTTTTCATCTACACTCTCTTTTTTATCCTAAAACCTATCAGTTGACAAGGCCACTACATTAAATTTTACAACCCCAGCTGACCCTAAGTAGCGGGGACAAGGTTTTGAGATGAGAACAAATTATGATAACCTAAATAAATGCAGAAACTTGGTTGCAGCAGATGCCATCTTTTTTTCTTTTTTGTAAGTTGAATATCGTGATTTTTACTGCTCCACTCATTTGTGTTTAATCCATGGTTGATTTCAGGTTCCTCAAGTATTAAATTGAAAGACGAGGTCACTGGATCTGTACATTTGGTAGGCGCTCACTCTCTGTCTTCTGCTTGTGGTCTGAGCACCCAACGGGCTCTAATCTCGTTGCTGCTAATTGCTGCTCTGCTGTACATTTTGGATTTCTGAATTGCCAACATTGATAGGAATACCACCACCAAATACTGAAGATAGAAAATATAGAAAGCTTATAGAAATTCATGAAAGAAACAATGTAGTGGATTGACATTTTGGTAGCATATGCATCTTTTCACTTACAAGGCAAAACTCATGGCTGTGTTTCTATTCCAACCGTGTATATCAAGTAGAAAAGGCATAGTTGTAAATGCTCTTTGTATATATACTTGGATTTTACCCTTTAAATACCAGACACTTGCAGTTATTAAAGGAAAATAATGATAGATAAACTTTATCTGTGTGTGTGTGTGTGTGTGAGGGAGAGAGAGAGAATTTCCCCAGCTCTAAAGGATTTGTTGCCAATGTTGTGGAACTATTTTAATGTGTGTCCGAGCCTCGGTGGTGTCTATGTTCAAGTTGTCTTTTCTGACGTGGATAATGTAGCCTAGCCTAACGTAGCCCACAAGGTTGCACCCACTTCACGGTACGTTGAACCATTAGGTGGGGACCTAAGCTCTCTAGTGTGGCTTTATGACGCACTGAACAGGAGACATTTTATACTTTTTGAGGCCTTTTTTATTGAATGAATGTTGGTGCATCCTTCGAAGTACGATGGTTTGGACAAATTACTTTGACACCCCTATGTTTTTGACAATTTCTAAAGGTAATTTCAAAATTTCAAAAAGGGTAAATCACATCGAGATTTATCACTTAATCAATCGGATTTTTTCACGTAAGATATTTTGTTAGAGTGTAAAGACATTAGTTTATTTTTTATACAAAATTTTCAACTTATCTTTCCACTGTCCCACATAAAACTCCCACAAAAATTTAATAATTATTATCCTAAAATCATAATGTTAAAATTATTTAATTCATCACAAATATGTTGATGCTGAAAAAATCAAACAAAATATATTATTTCAAAGGAAAAATTACATTTAGACCGTTTGAGGTTTGTCACTTAATCACTTAGATCTCCTGACATTTGAAATATTACATACAGACTCCTTGAAATTTGTACACACGTAACATTTAGACTTTTGTTGTAAATATATCTGTTAATAAATTATATTTAGACCCCCTAAAGTTTGTAGGCATATAATATTTAGACTACTTAAGTTTAAAATATTATACTTAGACCAAAAATACTTCAATCAAAGATAGAATATTAAATATTTTGAATTTTACAACCAAAATTCATGTTCTATTATATCATTTATTGAAATAAAATTAAAAAAAAATTTAATTTTAATTTTTTTCTTAAAAAATCATAATTAATATACAATTATACTATCTATTGGGATAAAACTAAAAAATCAAACAATGGGTCTAAGTCATTCATAATAAAACATGAATTTTACATCCAAAATTCATGTTCTATTGTGTCATTTATTGAAATAAAATAAAAATAAAAATTATAATTTTTAAAAAAAAATCATAATATATAATTACACTATCTATTAGAATAAAACTAAAAAAATTAAACAATGGGTCAAACTGTAATAGTCATAATATCTTTTAACTTTAATTAGGATAGTTTAATATTTTAATTTGGTCATTTAAACAACCAAATTAAATTTCAATAGACAATATAATTGTATACTAATTATAATTTTTAAAGAAAAAAATTAAATTTTTATTTTTGATTTTATTTCAATAAATGATACAACAGAATATGAATTTTGGTTGTAAAATTTAAAATATTTGATATTTTATCTTTGATTGGAGTTTTTTTGGTTTAAGTATAATATTTTAAATTTAAGGGGTGTAAGTATTATATACTTACAAACTCCAAGGGGGTCTAAGTATAATTTATTAACTAATATATTTACAATAGGAGTTTAAGTGTCACGTACGTACAAACCTCAGGAGGTTTGTGTGTAATATTTCAAATGTCAAGGGGTATAAGTGATTAAGTGACAAACCTCAAATGTCTATGTGTAATTCTCCCTATTTCAAATATGATTTATAACAATCAATTTTTAAATATAGACATTTAGTTATAAGAATATGAAAGACAAATTTAATCTATCACAAAACACACAAACTTGAATTTCTAGAGGTCAATCAAAAATAATTTAATCAATTGCTATTAGTTTTGGAATTCATATATAGAAATGCAATTCCAAAGGAAATTTATGACCACAATGGCAAATTGAAAAAATTCAGATCTTTTGTTAAATGTGTGCATGCATTATCTTCTCCCCAAAGTTCTGATTTGATGATCACATTCTAACAGGTCATGCTTGCTAATTCTAGGGTACTACGAGATGCAATAACGAGGCAGAATGGATTGAAAGTGGCATCTAGTACGTGAAATATTACCACATGATTAATACATGTTTGACATATGCACATGTAGGTGACCATTTTTTGACTTCATGTTCCTTAAGTTTAAGCAGACACTACTATTTAGTAGATGTTGGTTATACAAATGGGAAAGGTTTCTTACTCCATATAGGGGCCAAAGATACCACCTACAATTGTGGGGTCTGCAGCACTGCGTAATGCATAAGAATTCTTCAACCTTAGACATGCCACGGGGAGAAATATTATAGAATAATGTTTTTGCATTGCTAAAAAGTAGGTGGTCCATCCTTAGAACTCCATGTTACTATCTCCTACATGCACAATCAAATCATTGCCACATATTGTCTGTTGCATAATTTGATTAGGAACGAAATATTTATCAATCTATTGAAAGATGTTCTCCTTGAAAATGATTCACCTGATGGGAATGGAGTTGTGGAGCCTAATGTGATCGACAATGAGGAAACATCTATCGCATGGATGACTTTTTGAAACCAGTTGGCCAATGACGTGCAATGAGTGGCAAGCACCTATGGGTGGTTGGATGTTTATGTCTATGGTTGTTGATAAAAATTAATGTTTGACTTTGACTTTTTTCTATGGTGTGTGGTAATGTTAAGCAATATACCTCACAATTTTTATGGCTCTACTAATGCATGAGTTCCAATGCAAATGGGCATGATAAATGTTATACATGGTTTTTAGTAGGACATCTCAAGTGTTGCCTAGGAGTAACCACAATGAGCGTGGACCACGGTGCACATGAAATGCAGCCAAGGAGGAGCAACTTATACGCAAACGGAGAGGACCTATGTGTAAATAGATGGAAGTGTCAAAATGTTACTTTCAGGTAGGGTTATCTCCTAGCATTGGAGAATAACCTTGAGGAGGCATTCCCTGACAATGATCTTTGCATCTCGCCTTATATTGAGTCAAAAATCAAGATATGGAAGAAACAGTACAACGCTATTTTCGATGCTCAACACATCTGACTTTGGATGGAATGATTGGGATAAAAAAATAGAGATTTCTAGCGAGGACATATGGGCTGAGACAGTGATCCATTACAAAATCTTTCAACTTCACTTATAATATCTTATATATGTTGTGGCTTTGTAAATGAAATTTTAGAAATACAAGAATGCGATGGAAATGCAAGATAAATCGTGGTTGTTCTATGATGACTGAGGGGTTATCTTCGAGAAAGATAAGGCAACTGCTGGGTTTGTCTTGGGGTTAGACAAAAATGGAAGTTGCTAATGGAGGATAAGATGGTACCCCAGTGGACGGCAACCATGGTTCTGAATAATTGTAACGCCATTGTAATGGTAATGGTAATGGTAAGAGATGGACCCGGAGTGAAACGAGCGTCACGTAACAATAACGAAAACTAGAGGCGAGATTTTTTTTCAATTCACAACCCCATAGAACATGAATATTTACAATTTTAACTCTAAAATCATGCAAACAGTAGTGTTTAGTGATTTTTAGTGCATTTTATTGTATCATAAACATGAAAATGACACAATAAAAGTATTTATAATATTTTTTAAATCACCATGTAGTGAAATTAAGCATAATTTTCATTAACATAAATTAAAAAAATGAGATGCACAATTGCAAATGTAACAATTTATTAAATGAAGCATGTTCACATAACCATATTGATTTTAAGCATTCTACAATACAATGAAAGAGAGAAAGCAATAACACTACCTCTGAGCAGTCTTACCACCAAAAAGAGTGGCGTGGAGGATCCAAATATTGAGATTGAGATTGATTTTAGTTAATTCCACTGTCATCACTCCATCCCGTGGGCAACATATAAGTAAATGATCCAACTTCAACTCCATCTTGTCATATTTACTCTTCATATGTATGCAATGTCAAATAGTTGGAAGGACCTAAAGGCCCTAAGGATTCATCTTGGGGAGGAAAAGTGGGAGGTAGTGCTGAGTAGGGTGATAAATAGCTTCAGGAGGGTAACCATAGGGGTAGAGTCCATAAATTCCACCTGGGTAGCCTGATAGTTGGTAATTTTCGATACCACTACCAAACGATGAATCACTAACTGTGAAATCACTCAAACTCTGTATAATACTAGATAAGAAATCTTCATATTCATGCCAATTTCTCCTATTTTTGTTTGATTTTTTTCCCACCTTGATTGTTGACCATAAGATTATGGATCATCTCTAGCTGCACCAAGTCCAGGATCTCCATGTTCTCTGCAAAATGGTGAATCATAACCCTGACCACTACTGCCACCCTGAATTGGAAAGTTATGCTCATGATTTTCACCATAAAATCCACCTAGACTAACAATCGATAACCCCCATCATCACCACCACTACCACCATCATTATTATCATCATTGACACTACCACCACTTTTATCACTTTCGATCAGGATTAGAATCAGAGTCTTGGTCATCATGTGACTCAGAGCGAGGTATGTATTCATTATCATCATCTTTACTAAAAGAATTCATCCAATAACATTAATTGGCCTTCCCTTTCTTCTAACCATGGATAATATAATGCCTAAAAATTCACATTGGAAGACATTATCATCTAAAAACTCTACAACCATGAGAGCAATTAACAATAACTATTAAATAATAAATCATTTATCCATCTGACAAAAAAAAAATACTAAAGTCAATACAATATTGTAACTTTTCCAACTTACAATTCAAA